GAAAAACAGCTGAAATAAGCTGAAAGGAGCAAAACAAGCTGAAATTAGCAGAAAGAAGTTAGAAGAAGCACAAATATTAGCAGAAAGATCCCGAAAGGAGCACAAGACAGCAGAAAAACAGCTGAAAGTAGCTTGGGAAAAAAGTATAAATTTGCATAAGGACGCTGAAAGAAGCTGAACCAGAACAAAATGTGAAAGGAGCAGTGAAAGGTTGTGAACAGATCTAAAGATCTGAAGGATGTAAAATGAGCTCAGTTCATTGTCTATGATGGAATAAATAACAGAAAAGGCTAAATATTTCAAAAAGCTAAAGTTGCACCAAAGCCAAAAGTCAAAGTTGGATTGTCCTGAAAGAGTTGAACATTTTGATTCATGATTTGTTGAAATAGGTTGAAAACTGCGGAACGAGAATCGCGCTGAAAAATATGGAAGAAAAATGATCGCAGTAGTGTGAATTCTTCATAAACATTCATTCATTAAGTCATTTTCTGTGCACACAAACTTATAACCCAATCAGGTCTCTCTTGTAAATGAGTCCTCGAGGCTCAATGGGATTTACCTGTCTAAATAAAGGTTGAATGAATGAATATAACGTTGAGCATATTTATGTATGAATGCACTGCTATGACCTCCATTATGTCAGTCTTATGAGATGTACTTTACAATTTCAATATCTGAACAAATATAAAATGTATTTTTTCATACGTCTTGTCTCTCAGGTGATGAGGAAAGCTCTGGCCAATGGTCACTTCCTCTTTGACTTCCTGTCTCAGCCTGGGCGTCGGATGGTGGCAGCAGACGTTCAGAGTCTCGGCTCCGAGCGCACAACGTTCGCAGAGGGACTCGGCACCGTCAGGTCGCAGTGGCTGCACCTTCAGAGGGAGCTGGAGAAACGGGTACATAAAGCATCTAAAGGTCGCAGCTACGTTTGTCAACATCTAAACTTCGTACCTAAAAATAAAACACATTTGATTTGAAGCAAGTATGTTCTAATAAGTGGAAAAATAAATTAATTTAAAGAAGGATTATTTAAAATTATGTAAATATATGTTTCTTCCTTGTGTTTTTGTAAACAAACTACTTCCACAATCTTTGTATGATTTCAATCAATCGTGCTCCAAAACAACGATTGCGCTCTGACTTTTAGTGTTTGTAACTTTTTTTTTTTACACTTTTTGAAATTGTTGAACTTTATTTACAAAAAAATGTCCCTAATAAAATGCATACCCTTCAATTTCCTCAAATCATTGTTCTCTAAAAATGATTCAGCTCTATTTTTGTCTCGTGGTGCTTCGAGCTTTTAGCTACAATTTAGCTGAATTTAGCTTTTAGTGGCTATTTTGCTACATTTAATTCAATTCAGTTTATTTATATAGCACCAAGTTACAACAGAAGTCATCTCAGGGCACTGAACAGAAACATTCTTATAAATAAAAAGTTAATAACGTTATTTATCTGAGGAGCCGCTTAGCACTTAGCACTTAGCTCTTAGCACTTAGCTTTAGTTTAGCTAATGTTAGCTTTTAGTTAGCTTTTGTCTGATTGATGCTCAGTTCTGCTAATTTAACTTAAAGTTCAGTAGTACTATTACAGTATTACACAGTAGTATCTATTTATGGGAACAGGGAGTGGTGGGGCAGAGGTTAGGGAAGGTGGGCTTGTGATCGGAAGGCCGTTGGTTCAACTCCCGGCAACATAAAAATGTGGGTAGGATTGGTGAAGCACCCACATCTGCCTCCACTCTGGGCCCTTGAGCAAGGCCCTTAAGCCCCACCTTCTGCTCCCCCGGGCACCCTAGATGGCAGCTCCGCTCCACACACAGGGCTGTGGTAGCTCAGTGGTCTGTGGTTGTGTCAGGAAGGGCATCCAGCGTAAAAATAAACTATTTATGGGAGCATTTGAATTTTGTTTTTATTTATTTTACTAAACAAAACATGTTATTTTGGTTTGCAAAGACTTTCTTCCCGTTTTGAGCCACAGTTTTGCTTTTTTTATCTTTTCAGGTTTGCGACGTGAAACACGTCCATCAGGCCTGTGCAGAACGAGAAAGACGTCTGCAGAAGCTCCGCGGCCGGCTCGAGCAGCAGCAGCAGCAGCTGCAGCGGTGGAAACGGCCCATCGCTCAGACTCTGGCTCACAGCGCTCTTCCAGAGTGGGAGGTATCATCATCTGAAGCCCGCTGATTTCATCTCCCGAGCGTTTCTGCACGAGTTCCTCTGATCTTTGCCCTTTGTCTTCCAGGCTGCTGTCGGCAGAGTGAAGGAGGTCTCTGGAGCTCTGCGGGAGTTGAGGACAACCCGAGTGCATTGTGGGAAGGAAGAAAAGCACCTGTGTGACGCCGTCTTCTCCGAGCGAGCAGAGTGCGTCAGTCGGACGTGCAGGGATCTTAGTGAACAGGTAGCTGAAGCTGCGATCAGAGACGTGACCCTGCACAGATTTACGTTCAATGTTTTTTATATTTTAAACTTCTGCGCTCTGCAGACTCCACTCAGCTCTCCAAGCATTCTCATGTTTTTATAGTTATTGTGTTGGTTTTACGGCAGCTCATTTATTTTAATGTAAGTTATGCTTCTTCAGAGTTTGTCAAACGGAGAAAAAAATGAATTTAGAGTTACAGGTTTGCAGAAATGTGACTTGAAACGGTACGATCTGCTGGTTTATAAAGAGAAGGCAGATTTTTTTTAATCACTTTTATAACTTCATTCTTTGTTCAAAATACATTTTCTAGAAAAACGGGTTGTAAAACTAAAAACAAAAAATTAACGTTGGCAAAGAATTTAATTTATGGCGATTTCATTTTTTTTTTATGTTCTGCCTCTAATGACCGTGTCGAATGTAAACTCATTAAAACAGATTTTAAGACGAGAATAACTTAAACCCAATCGTATTCACCTACATTCAGCTGATTTAAACCTTAGTTGAAACTATTCACTGTGGTCACTTTTTTAAATTTAATTTAGGCAAAATGTCCTCCAAAAAAATGTATAATTGACTTGTTTCTTTCAAGGAAACTATTTTTACAGAAAGAGTTGTTAAATACATGTTAAGCAAATATTAATGTTTTAGGTAAAAACGAGTATTGACCAATAGGTTTAATAAAAGGTGGTTGTATGTTGTTGACTGTAAGCGGCCCTGATTCTCAAAGATTGGCATTGAACAGAGACAAACTCTCATGTTTCAGTGTTGAGATGTTGAATTTAAAACTAAACCAACCAGTTATCATTTAAAGGTACTTATGTGCAAATAATGAAATCCATCAATAAAAAGATTATCCTGAGCTCAAGTATTAATCTGGGCAAACTCAAATCCCGTACAGTAAAAATAAAGCCTTGTAAATCTGCGGCACCCCGGACACATATACATGTATGTGTGTGTGTGTATATATATATATATATATATATATATATATAATTATGTTAATCATGAATGTAGTACTCCCCATCACCTTGTGCATATTGTCTTTATTCAAATTTGTGTATTCTCCTTCTTTTTTATTATCATTATTTCAAATGTATTTTTTTCTATATAATTAGAAACTGCCACTGGATGTCTCAAATTACCCCCTGGAATTGATAAAGTATCCATCTTTCCATCCGTTGTGCTCCACTAGTTTTACACATGTCAATCTGAAATGCGGGTCTGCATTAAGTATAAACGAATCACTCGGCTAAATCTGATGAACTTCATGTAAGCTCGAGTCACATGACTGACCTGGTCGTAGCTTTTATAGATAAACCATTACTTCTTGTAAACTTTGCCTGTTTTCAGTTCCTTCAGCTGTTTCTGTAGGGAAACAAACACAAGGTTGTTGGCGTTTGGTCACTAATTCTGCTTATAAATTCGTAATTTGATGACGCGTTAACCATCGATGTGAGAGGAATGTGCAGACTCTCTTCCTCTGAGCTTTTCTTCTTGGCTCCTCTTTGTGTTTACAGCTACTCGTTGCAAAACATTAAAAAATTCTCCAAGCTACCAAATGCCCCTCACCTTTCCTTTGGGCCATTTGCAGATGGAAGCGCTCAGACCTGCTCTTCAGCAGACTGTGGAGGAGTGGACTTTCTTCCAAAGAGCTCTGGGGGACGTTACTCTGTTTGCCACGAGGGTTCGCTGCGCCCTGCGGCGTCAGCAGGCTCCTCTCTTCTCACTGAAGCAGGCTGAAGGATACTCAGACTTCCTCCAGGTGAGCTGTGAGATACCTATATAGATAAAATGCTACACCCCCGCCACAGATGTATTTTAATAACATATTCATCGAACAATGTTAAACCTGTAGAGAAGAATGGTTTTAAAGATAAAGTGTATAATAGTGTCTCTGTGAAAAAGCAAGCTGTGGTTAAAAGCCTCAGTCCAGTTTTGACAGGTTTGGGAAAGTGTGGGCTTTCATGGACTTCAAGCTGTCAGTTCCTTTCAGACCGCGTTCTCATTTTTCAGGGAAGTAAATGTGCTTTCAGAGAGCGAGCGTGAAAGCAAGGTGTTTTTTCTTTACTCAGGAGCTCCAGACGAAGGTGGAGGCGGAGGAGGAGCAACTTTGGACGGCTGTGGATAAATCCCATCGGAGGCTGGTGGAGACGCTCCATCAGGGAGCAGCTCGGGCTCTTGGTGATAAAGTGGACGGAGAGCGGAAACGGTCGGTTGTGCAAAGGAACGTTACGCTTTCAACAAAACGTTTACACCTGATCCTGTAAATGTTTAACGTCCGCCTTTGTTTGGCTCGATTGGCTGCTAAATGGTGGCCGCGGGAGCGTGCACGGGAGGACTTTAACAAGAATTTGACAAGATTAACACTTAAAAGCAATTATTTGTTTGCTCGAAATTATAGCAAAGATGCGTCTCAGTTGAACCTTTTCTTAATAAATGCCCTTTGACGGTCAAATCGGATGCATTTCAAAAATCGATTTGCGATAGCGCACAGAGGAAGGACTCGCTGTGCATTTCTTTGAAATTTAACAAGATTAACACCTAAAAACAATTATTTGTTTGCTTGACATTATAGTAAAGGTGTGGCTCAGTTGAATATATCATTAATAAATGCACTTCAATGGTCAAATCAGCTGCATTTCGCCTGGGCGGCGCGGTGAAATGCAGCTGATTTGATGTTTGCTCCAGGAGTTCCGGAGCGAGACGACTGTGGCTTCGTATGGCAAGCCAAGTGTCTCATTAATAGCCACTTTCACCTATTAATGAGACACTTATCTTGCCATATTACTCGAGGGCTATCTAGCAGCTGAAAATGGTAGTGTTCAATATTTTCCATGTCAGAATGAATGAAAGAGTCAGATCTCAGCCCAAAATTGTGTTAAAAATATGTGGGGGGGGGACATATATTAGTCGCTTCAGTTTATAAGTCGCAGGACTTAAAAAAGTGCAACTTTTACGGCGAAAAGTATGGTAATTATCATCCACCACAGGTGATGAGACTTGTGTTCATACATCTGTCTATAAGCAAAATATCGCCTGAACCTTTGAGGGATTTTAATGAAACTTGCAAAAAATAATTATTGGATGCACATCTACAACCAATTAAAGATGGCCGCCACAGCCAACTGGCTTTTTAAAATTCTAAAATGGTTATAAATCAGTCCGTTTTTAAAATAACGAACAAAAAGTTGGTGTGGTAGAAGTTGAGAGTTATTCCCAACACCTGCTGCAAGTGCTATTTATTGCATGAGGTTTTTGTTGGATTCATCCCTGTTTTGTCTGTTAGCAAAATATCTCGCGAACCAATGAATGGATTTTAACAAAAAGTACATCTACAACTGGTTTTCTTCTGGGGTCAGTCCATTACAAGATGTCTGCCCTGCTAATCAGTAACCAACACAAAAATGGCTCTAACTCGGCTAGTTTTACAGACGTTGAGCTAAAACTTGGTATGGTAGTAGCTGAGGGTCATCTTCAACACGTACTCCTGCATGTTTGACCAAAACAGCTACAACTGTCTCGTATTTTAACATCAGATGGTGTAGGTGTGTAAAGGTAGGGGATGGTGTGCATTTCTTCAAAGAAACTAGGCCTGATTTTTATTTATTTATCTTCAATGTCGTGTCGTCTCAATCAAACAGTTAGATCTTTTCTCTGTGCACATTAGAGTTGAGGACAAATGTTTTATTGTGGCCTTCTCAGGTGGAAGAGCACAGTGCAAGAGATACAAGACGAGCATGAAAAGACTGGAAACACCTTTTCCCTCTGGAAGGAGTACAGCCGCCTCTCGTGCAGCTGCTCTCATCACCTGCAGCACCTGTGGGCTGAGTTTAGCTCCTCACCTGAAGCAGACCCACAAGCCAAGATTTGTTCTCTCAAGGTGAGTTTGAGGTTCTCGGCACCCCTAAAGTGGAGTTGAATTCAGGCCCAAAGAATCCGACCCGGTCCCGGCCTGTAGCCATCATTTCCGAACCCCACCCGACCCGATGAATTAACAGTAATTACAGACCCCCCCCCCCCCCCCACACACACACACACATTTTTAATTAAGCTTTGACAGCTTATATAGTTATAAACAGTCGGTGGACGCACAGCTGAGGGGGCAGAAGATCGGCGCTGAGGCGGTGTTTGTACTTTCATGGCTGTCAAAGCGCATTAAATCCCTGCTTCTGCCTGCATTCTGCATTATTCAAACACAGACCCTGCTCTGGCATGTCGGATATTTTGGGCTCTCACCTGTTTGGGTCATCGGCCGCGTGCATCCGCTGAGTGCAGCGGCTGAATGAACGTCCATTTGGGCTGATGGATCACTGCCTGGCAGTACAGTCCCATCTGAAGCTTAACTGAACTTTTTACCTCTTTCAAGGCCGGTCAGCACGCGGTCAAATGGCCGTGTGCAGCTGGTGATAGTATGGCAAGCCATGTTTCCATATAATTGGATCGTCAGCCGCGCGCAGCCCGACATCGACCTGGCCCGCACATTAAGCACATTATTATGGCCTGGCCTTAATCCGGGTTAGCAATGACAGCTCTACCCTAGTACTCTTTGTGTACCTTATAGTGCTATAGAGTTGAATGAATCCTTTAATACTTGAAAAATACTCTGGTGTAGATAGTAACTTGGATTTGCAGTTTAAAAATATCTGTATTTAAGGATTCAAGGTTCTTTATTTGTCATACACACCACATGTGGTACATGTGGTGGAACAAAACTGTTACACAGGGTTCCAGTTACATCCAACAAAAGTATTAAAATGAAAAAGAAAAACAATAATAAGATCTACGATATGAACTAATAAAAATGTTAACTAAAAATACACTAAGCACTAGTAGTATAAAAACAATACACCGAACAGCAGCCCGAATAAAATATATATGGTATGGTAATATATATGGTATAAAATAAATATAAGTTTATACATTTCATTACCTAAATCATTCCTCTAACAAGCAACAACTGTTTTTAGAGCAAGCAGAACTGGATTCACAAACCTTGTTTTTCATAGTTGCCAAAAGCTTTTATTATTTTTATTTATTTATTTTTTTAGATTTATTACATTCTCTGCCTGACTCACCATGTTCCAGGTGCAGGGAGTCCATGCATTACGTTCACAAATTTAATTAAATGTTTTTCTCTGTCTGGTCTCCTGTTCTTGAAATGGAAGCGGCAGCATGTTCCGATGAGCAATGAGCCATTCTTTGTTGGAGCACCTGACCCCTTGTCCTGCTCTGCTTATTCCAGAGGAAATGTTGTTTTGCTGGTTCGACGAAAAAAAAAAATCATTTATGTTTTTTTGCTGTTTTAGTACACAGGAAGGTGTATTCTGTGGTAACAGGAAAAACAGTTTATTCCATAGGAAGACAAACAAATCTGTTAAATGCATGTGAACAGATGAAACAAACAAGTTTATTTGCGTATCGTTTTTTTTCCTCTAGAAAACGTGAAGAATATATATATTTTTTAGTGACAGCCATGTTGGCTTTCTTTTCTCACCCTATTGTTTTTTTCAGGCTTGTACCTACTGTAAATGCTATAACATTTTGTGCTGCGTTAAATGAATTACCACAAAACTCAGAAACTCTGAGAAACTGCACATCCTGTAACTAAATACCATACGTGTGGGAAATGCTGCGCTGCCTAAAATAAACAATTGGATCTGGGCCCAGATAGGACTTTGCTTGGCTCCGGATCCAGACCACAGTCTGCCATTTGGAAACCCTAAATCTTTTGAAAATATTTATTTCTTTGTTTATTTGCATTAGAAGCTGCAGGGTGCTGCTGAAGAGTTGCAAAGCAGCATGGGAGCCGTGCTGGAAGTATCCAAGCATCTTATTGGACACCTCGAACCTCTGGCCGCAAAGCTGATCCAATCAGAAACCAGACTGCTGATGAATGAGATCCTGCTGCTGAACCAGGCTGCATCAGGAGTAAATGAAGGTCTTCAGGTGAGATCATTAGTTTGAATAGTTTTCGTGTCGTAAATGCATTTTACAGTAGTCCCTCGTTTATCGCGGGGGAGTCGTACCCTGAAGCCCCGCAATAAGTGAAAAACTGTGAAGTAGGAATAGTAGTACAAGTAGCAAGTAGTAGTAGTTTGACAGCAAGACATTGAGATTTGTCCATGAAGCACTTCCAGATAGACCTTAGTCCTGATAAGTTGTTGGTCAGCCGGCCCAGTTCTGATAAGCCTTCACAGAAGTTCTTGGGGGGTGCAATACACAAAGCTTTTCCTTAGTTTGCACATATCCCAGGAGACATTTGATAAGTCTTCCTGTTTTCGTGGCCAACCGGGGTAGTCAGATTCAGATAAGCCACAATTGTTGATTTTTTTTTTTTTTTTTTTTTCAAGCAGTCTGTGTTTTTTTCTTGTCAGCCTTGAGTCCTGTCGGTATTTTCAAGATCCGAAATGGACAGGTTTGTGGGCAGTCCACTGGTCCGTGCCTACGAGGCTCCTCCAAGGTCGTCTCCAACATACTGACGAGTCCCAGAAGCCACAGGTGGCCTGCGATTCCCACAAATCTCTTCCATCTTACGGTTTAGCTTGTAAATAAGCCGATTTTGGGTACTCGAAGCTCGAACCAAACCTTCACACAGACTCAGCAGTTTTGCCATGGCCAAAACCGCTGCCGCTGTCTTCCTTAATAGCCGATAACAGGAATCCACCGATGCCAAAAAGCAGAAACCCTGCTATCATGAATCCAATTATATAAATGTATTCGACGTCCTCCTGAGACAAAACCGAAAGACGCATCCGCTCCCAAACTCCCCACGGATCCATGACGTATCCTGCCGCTTGAGTGTCAGTGGGACATGAGGGCTCTCCAGGAGACTGTCGATTTGTTGAAAAAGATTTTGTCGATTGCGTTGAACGTCCAACTGACCAGATCCATGACAGTAGTTTTAGTTTTGAAAGGTGTTTAATAGGAGCTCCGATACACAGACAGAAAGCAAATAAAAAAATATATATGTGTGTGTGTGTGTGTGTGTGTGTGGATATCTATTCACAAACAAACTATTACTTACTACTTGTATTACTACTACTTCTGCTGCGGAGATGTGGGTGTGGCCTTGCACTCAGCCACGCCCACTTCTCCACAGCAGAACAGAGATCATGGAGGAGGTGCTGCAGGAGGACTTTCTCCTGCAGTTTGGGCTGTGCAAAGGTGCAGCAGGTGCTAGATAAATTAAAATAATTTACTTTAAATAAAAATTCCATGCTGATCGTGCAGCTCGTCCATCAAGCAGCCAATTGTGTGTCATGTCCAATCTGATTTTGAAAAACCGCGATAGAGCGAGTCCGCGAAAAACGAACCACGAAGTAGCGAGGGACTTCTGTATTAATGTTTTTTTTTTCTGGAGTTAAATGCCGCTTGATGTTAACAGATCTTAGCTGGCATGAATTCAGCAGTGTTTATTTCGATGTGCAGATGAATTTGGAACAGCAGAAACACTTTCAGACTCGACTGGAGACTCTTGAAGAACAGATGCTGAAACTGAAGACTGGTGCACGTGACACAGACTCTGTAAAGGTAGGTCTGACTGAATGAGCTTCCCTTTACAGTACCTATTGCATGTTAAATGAAACCATAATACTCTGCTTTGTGTTCTGTCTTAACTTCTCAGCAGGTTCTTTTGGACCTCAGTGACCTGGTTCCATCTCTAGTTGACGTCAGGGAGACGACTGGCTTGATGACTTTTAACAACCAGGAGAGAGAGAGAGTGGGCTCACTCTACAGGCAGTGGGTGGAAAACGTAACTCTGGCATCAGACAGAAACAGGTAATCTGTTTCAGGTTACAATTAATATTATAAAACCCTGAACGTAACAGTATCAAATTTCTTGTATAAATATTTACAAAGTTTTATTAGGCAAAATTAGAATTAATCAATTAGTGTATTTTAGCATCTTAAAGTAGTATCAAATTATTATATTATTATATATTTGGACCCTGTCACACTTTTATCTGGCCCATTTATTTATTTGTTTATTTATTGAGTTTCTTTTCTTGTTATTTTACTTGGAAAAACAAAACAATTAGAAATTTAGTGCACACTTCACTTGGCCGTTGGCTGACTTTGTAAGTACGAGGCTAAGGCCAAGTAATATGTAATATTATATTATATAT